CCTGGAGCCATAGGGTGCTATGAGTGGCTCGTCATGCCTTTCGGGTTGAAGAATGCTGGTGCCACTTACCAACGAGCCATGAATGCTATCTTTCATGACTTGATTGGCGAGTTGGTTGAGGTCTATGTGGATGACATTGTTGTCAAGTCTAAGGTAACAAGTCAACACTTATCTCATCTTCGTATGGCCTTTTTACGTATGAGAGGCCATAACTTGAAGCTAAATCCACTTAAGTGTGCATTTGGTGTGTCTGCAGGTGACTTCTTAGGGTTCCTTGTGAGCCAACGTGGCATTGAGGTTGATAAGAGCAAAACCAAGGCCATCATTGAGGCCATGCCACCAAGTAATAAGAAAGAGCTTCAAAGGTTCCTCGGCCAAGTTAACTACATTCGACGTTTCATCTCAAACTGTGCTGGCCGAACCCAAGTCTTCTCTCCTTTGTTGAAGTTGAAGCAGGAAGATGAGTTTGTATGGCGTCAAGAGCATCAGCAAGCCTTTGATGACATCAAGAAGTACCTGGCAACCCCGCCGGTACTCAACTCTCCAATCCCACATCGGCCATTGAAGTTGTATCTTTCAGCCACTAACACCTCTGTAGCATGTTTGTTGGCTCAAGATAGTGACTCTGGCCATGAACAGGCCGTGTACTACTTAAGTAGACTGTTAAATGAGGCAGAACAAAAGTACTCTCCTGTACAGAAGTTATGTTTAGCCTTATATTTTTCTTGTATGAAGCTAAGGTACTACTTGATGCCTGTTCAAGTGCAACTCATATGTAAGACTGATATAATAAAGTACATGTTGTCCCGGCCAATCATCCATGGCAGGATTGGTAAGTGGACACTTGCACTATCCGAGTTCAACTTGCATTATGTGCCTCAAAAGGCCATAAAGGGCCAAGCATTGGCTGACTTTCTAGCTGACCACCCATGTGTGGATGTGCCAGCTGAGTTGGTAGAAATAGATATGGTGGAGGAAGCCTCTTGGACCTTGTACTTTGATGGATCAAAGACACGGTCTGGAGCGGGTGCTGGCGTGGTCCTCACTTCCCCATCAGGGCATACCATGCACTTTGCCTTTACACTTGATCTCCCATGCACTAACAATCAAGCCGAGTATGAGGCTTTAGTGGTGGGGCTGGAGATGCTTGTTGACTTGAAAGTCAAAAGTGTTAATATCCAAGGGGACTCCCAACTGGTAGTCTACCAAGTACTTGGTGAATTTCGATGCATCAATTGCATACTAGAGACATATCTTGACTATGTCCAAATATTAATTACTCACTTTGATAATGTCTCCATCAAGTATGTTCCTCGCCAGGACAATGGCAAGGCTAACTACTTAGCACAACTAGCCTCGGGGTTCAAAGAGTTTGCTCATGAAGGGGGAGAGCAAATTTTTGTCCGAAGGCTCAACCCATTGCATGAGAGATTGAAGCAAAGGGTGGATGTGTTTACAATTGAGGAGGACGCCAGTGACTGGCGTACCCCCTTGGTAGCATACTTGAAGAATCCAACAGGGGATGTGGACCGGGCCATCAAATTCAAGGCAAGGAACTATGTCTTGTTGGATGAGGTCTTGTTCAAAAGGAGGCCAGACGGTTTACTGTTAAAATGCTTGGGGGGCAAGGAGGCCCTACAAGCCATGGGTGAGGTTCATGAAGGGATATGTGGTGCTCATCAAGCAGGCCCTGCTATGAGGTGGGTACTCCACCGGTATGGGTACTATTGGCCATCCATCGGGGAAGATTGTGTCGCTTTTGCTAAGGGGTGTGAGGCTTGTCAACGACATGGCCCAGTGCAACGAGCTCCGGCCATCGACTTGAAGTCTATCATCAAGCCTCGACCTTTCATGGGATGGGCCATGGACTTGATTGGAAAGATTTATCCACCATCTTCTGATAGACATACGTTTGTCATCTTGGCAACTGATTACTTCACCAAGTGGGTGGAGGCCAAGCCAATGACAGTGGTCAATCAAGGAGAAATCATCAAGTTCATCAAAGAAAATATAATACATAGGTTCGGCTTGCCAGCCACCATAACAGCTGACCAAGGTACTGTATTCACGGGAGCGGAAGTGATGGCTTTTGCCGAAGAACACGGCATCAAAATCATACACTCCACTCCTTACTACGCTCAAGCCAATGGTCAAGCTGAAGCATCCAACAAGGTGGTGAAGGGCATACTGTCTAAGATGATTGAAGATAACCCAAGAAAGTGGCATGAAGTCTTGTTCGAAGCCTTATGGGCTTATCGGATGTCACCACGTAGTAGTACAAAAGTGACCCCTTTCTCTTTGACATATGGACATGAGGCCTTCCTGCCGCTCGAAATAACGGTCAAGTCATTGAGGTACATGAGGCAACATGAGTTGACACCCTCAGAGTACTATGAGTCAATGATGTTGGAATTGTGCGATCTTGATGAACTCCAACTCAAAGCACTCGATAACATCAGGGTGCAAAAGGACAAAGTAGCTCGCTCTTACAACAAGAGGGTTAAGCACAAGTCCTTTGAAGAAAGAGAGTTAGTATGGAAGCTACACTTGCCAATTGGGGAAAAGGATCCCAAGTTTGGCAAGTGGTCTCCCAACTGGCGTGGACCCTTCATTGTCCATGCCACCCGGCCCAATGGGGCCTACTTGTTAAAAGATTTAGATGGTGTGTTTCATGATCGATTGATCAATGGTAAGTATCTCAAGCCCTACGTCCCTTCTCTTTGGGACTTGGGGTGTCAAGGAGTTCAATGTTAGTAGGCCACCTTGGTGGCCGGCATGCCAAGCCTCACACACCCTAAGGCATGGCATGATACCCCATGTTAAAGTATGGATTGAATAGCTAGCCATGACATGGAGGGTACGTTGAGACAGAAGTACAACATTGATATGGGGGCGTGAAGCCAAGTAGGTTGGTATCACACTTCATCAATAATAAAAATAGAGTTTATTACAAGGCAATGAAAAGAACATCCCACCAAAGGCAAACACTAAAGGCCGAGTCATATGAATAACAAAAGAGAAAGAAAAAAAAAGCCAAATCCATGGCTAAGCCGAATGTCTTAAATCATGAAAAAGAGCTAACAAAAAAAGGGGAAAAGGAAGTATGGATGATTTAGCCAGGCATGTGATGGAGAGCCTCTTTGACGATATCTCGCAGCTTGAGGAAGGTAGCAAGATGGGTGTTGTAGACAAAGACGGCTTGTTCCTTCTCCTGAGATAGCTGTGCCATAGGAGTCATTGGGCCCATTGTTTCCTTGAGGTTGTGAGCTTTTTCCACTAGCTGCCGGAAGTCTTGAGACATGGGAACATGTTGAGCCTGGTCCTTGGCAGCTTCTGCACGAATTTGGGCAAGCTCTTTCTCGAGTTCAGCTATCCTGGCTTGGCGAGCTGTTTCCCTTGTTTTGAAACCAATAAGAGCATCCTTCATAGTCTTGCAGTCAGCAGTCATTTTGGTGTAGTTGGCTTGGATGGATTCCTTGTTCACAACTTGATTTTGTTCGTGGATAGCCTTCTCCATTGCTGATATGCTGAAGCCGAGACTATTCCTGGCTGCTTGTAAAATGGACATCTTATTCATGTCAAGTCCTGGCAATGGGTTGAGAACAACAAGGCTGGATAGTGACTCGAGAGCTTGTCCAGGCCAGCGATTCTTGGAGGCCATGATTGCCTGCTGGGGAGTGAGTGAGAGGTACTGGTCCAACTCAGTGAGGGCAGCACGTGTGGCTTCAGAAGAGGGGGCAACGAATTGGGCTTCCTCCCCAAGTGATTCTAAGTTTTGGAGGAGATCGAAGCAGTGGTCGAGCGAACTTAGATCCTGCAATGGTTTTTATTAAGTTATGGACAAGCCGAGTTATACAAAGGAAAAAAGAGGGAGAGTAGGTCGCAGCGCTTACTAGGGTTGGAGTAGTGTTACTGGCGGTGGTGTGGAAATCGGGAGTGGTAGAGGAAGAGAATATAGCCCGCTCGGTCTCATCCATGTTGGTAGTGGACGGTCCGATGTTAGATCCTTCTAAAGCACCCTGGGCATCGTGGTACTCGGAGGGGAGTTGATAGTCGTTGACATTGAGAAGACCCCCGGTGTGTTTGTTGCTGAAGCCACCCTCCAAGTCATTGAGGAGGTTGTTCTCTAAGATAGCTATGTTAGAGACGTTGGCTTGATGACTTGATGAGAACAAGTTGGTCGTCGGAACTTGGAAGGGTGCACCTTTTGATGGCGAGGGAGCAGTAGAGACGGGAAACTTATGAGTAGGATTTCCAAGGCCAAGAGGACCGAATGACGAAGTGTGAGGTACAACCGTTGGGTTGATCGAAACTGAAGGGGACCCAATTGTCACTGCCAAACTTGACGATGAGAAGTTTGAATCCTTCAGTGGGTTGAGACCTTCATGAATAGACAAAGGAGATGGTTGAGGCTGCAGGGTGGAAGGTGTCTTGTCTGGAATCTCCATTCGGTTGGGCCCTGTAGGCTCAGTATCGGTGTCCGAATCTGTAGACACTGCTGTGGGACGGCCCTCGAGGTCCTCATCGGTGGAGTTGTCATCTACTAGCTTCGAACCCTCATCGTCCTCGCCTTTGTCGCCAGTATTGTCTCTAGAGAGGTGTTCTTTCTCGCCCTCAACTGATGACAAAGACTGCAAGGAAAATTCTTATTAGGTTATTGATCTAAGGAAGATGAACTAACAAGATAGTTTAGCACTTACTCGTGGATCCTTCAAAGAAACCTTGCGCTTGGTGGATCTAGGGGGGCTATCTACGCTAAGACCTACATTTGAAAACAAAGCTATAGGAGAACTCAAAGAATATGAAAAATAGTATGGCAAAGAGTTTGATAGGGGGAAGCTTACATGCTCGTCGTTTGGCCTTGGAGGTGATGGAGGAGGGGCCGGTTTCTTTGACACTATCACCTTGGTTGCTCGAGTTAATGGCTTCCGAGCTAGCATTTTTCGGAACATTGTCAAGCAACCCTTGTGCTATGACTGGGGCTGAACCATCAAAAAGACTCAAGTTCTCCACTTTGCCGGGAAAGACAGCTTGAAAGACCCGGGACAGTGCATCCTTCCTTGGCTCAAAACACTTGAACTTGGTGCTCTCCCCTTGTATACTGTGCCACTGGAGTTCTCGTCCTGATCGAACCAGCCAACCTCAAAAGTCAGAATCCTTAAGAACATCCGCTCCCTGATCCGATTGGTCAGACACTCCCCAACGTAAGCAAAATTGTAGTGCTGCACAACATTGACAGCCATGGAAACAAAGGCGAGCCCGAGAAAGCTCAGGGAGTAGATGGCTTTCCTGCGTTTGATCTCGTCATGATCGGACAAGAAAAACACAGATATCATGGAACCCATGGTGAAAGCGTAGACAGGCTGAATCCCACCGAACGGAACCGCTCCCGAGCAACCGAGAAGCCCTTGCTTCCACTCAGGGAGGTTCAGTGCCATAAGCCTTCTGAATGATGGCACCGGGAAGTCATGTTCTGCGACGGTCATATTGTCAAAGGCTTACCCAGAATAAAAAAAGGGGTTAAAGGCCACGAGCTACAAAGCCACAGTGGTTGTGTGATCAGGGACAGGATACGTTAGTCTTGTTAATGATGGCCAAAATTTAGCAAGGGAAATTAACAATGGAATGGGAGAATGGTTAGCCATTTAAATGTTAAGGCCAGAGTCCACTATTTGTACGAGGCAGTGAGGTAAATTAATGGTTTTGGTTTCATTAAGAAAGCCAACAAAGTGTGGGGTTAATCGGTTTAGTGGATGTAAACTACTTAGTCCATAATCCTTATGCACTAAGTAGTTGGGGGGCATTTGTTTACCCATAAAAAATCAGCTTGTACCACATTGATTAACTACAAGAAATTCATTGGATTTATAAGGCCAGCTCAACATTAATAATTAAAAGAGCCAGCTGGGCCTAGTTGGGTTGGATTTTTGGGCCTAAGTGGCCAAGCCCCTTCTTCCCTACATGATGGCCGACCCGTCTCCTTGGCCCCATAGCCGGACGATGCGTTTCACCCCTTGGTAGGAAATTTGGCCTCCAAAAAAACTAAGTCTTGGAAACAAGGCGACACAACGGGGTGCCAAACGGCCGGGTGCCAAAGCCTTGGAAACAAGGCGACACAATGGGGTGCCAAACGGTCGGGTACCAAGCCTGGTACCAAGTAAGGGCGCCAAACAAGAGGGTATCAAGCCGACAAGGCAGGCCTGATACCCAAGTAAGAAATTTGGCTAAGTCTTGGAAACAAGGCGATACAACGGGGTGCCAAACGACCGGGTACCAAGCCGGCAAGGAGGGCCTAGTACCAAAGTATACGATAATTGGCTAAGTATGGAGCCATAGGTATCAAGCCGACAGGCTTGGTAGCCAAGCAAGGCGGCAACGGGGGCGAAGCCAGGCACCAACTAAGAGAGTCATACAGAAACTAAGTCTGGGTATCAAGCCAACAAGACGGACTTGATAGCCAGACATCAGGGTATCAAGCCAACAAGACAAGAAACTAAGTATGGATACCAAGCCACCAGGGTTGGCTTGGTAGCAAGGGGTGTCAAGTTGATTACATTGGCTTGGTGGCATGCCGGAAGGTATCAAGCCGATGAGACGGCTTGGTAACAACCAACAAGTTCATGAGGAGGGTTTGGTGTCATTGAGGTGGTAACGGTCTCAAGACGACAAGAGTGGGGTAGGAGCTGAGGTTGAGATCAAGACCTCATCATGGTTCATGGAGGCTAAGGCAAATAGCCTCAACCCCATCCAGTTATGACATGGCGACAAGGCTCAACATATGACAGGGCGACAAGGCTCAACACCAACTCGACCCGGCATTGAGGCCATCAAGTGCCCACCAACCCCGAGACGGGACAAGGGCATCCAAGGCGCCAGTCAACAAGACAGGTCAAGGAGCTCCAAGGCAATGGAGGTGAAGACCAAGACAACAGTTACCAATTGGCAACCAAGGGAACGAAAAGGGGTCCATAAGGCGGTTGCAGCAGCAAGACGGATAGCAGTTACCAAGGCAGTTACTCCTAGTGGCTATAAATAGAAGAAACGAAGAAGAAGCAAGGGTTCCACAACCAAACATTTGACGCACAATGTCAAAATTTATCTTTTCTCTGCAAATCAGCTTTTAGTTTTCGGAGCTCTCACTGAACCTCCATAGGAGTAGAGTAACTTAGATTATTCCAAAAAACCATCAAAAACATCAAACACCCTCGTTCGAACATTGTTCGGAGAGGTGTGAACCGTGTTGATTGTCGTTGTTCAAGAAGTCAAGGTGCAATCATTTAATTCAAACACCAGTTTTTCCTCGCCGGAAAACAAGAGAGTTGCAGAGAAATGATTCTCTCTCCTCCTTTGAAAAGGCAACCATTAAAAGTGGTCTTTTTTTTTTGAAAAAGCGGCCATTAAACTTGGAATATAATAAAAATAAAAATTCATAAACGGACAAAAATGCCCTTCTGGACCCCGCATTCAGCCCAGCCGCATGATTGATCCGCCCCTAGATCTACGGTGTGCATGCATTTACTGATAGGTCAATAACCATTGGTTACTGATTCTATCCCATACCCTCCTTTGGAGCTTTTACTGTCCCCGCGGCTTGCTTCTCATTTGTACGGTTAAAATTGTACGTGAGATGAGTTCCAGTATGCTATTTATGTTTACTTTTTGATGGTTAAAATTTCACAGCCAGATGTTAGGTATGTTGTTTTAAGAGAATGGTAAACTGACCATCTTACTTATTCGGTGCAACAAATCAACAATAAGTAATTAGCTTCAGCCTACAGATTCGGCTTCCACTAACAACACATAACTTCACAACCCTACAAAGTAGCCAACATGAATGACTAACTAACTTGATAGTAGTGCTGGCCATTCGATTATCGGTTGCCGGTTAACTGGCCGGTTAAACCGATAACCGAAAAATTGAGGACGCGGGTGGTTGGCGGTAGACGGGTTAAGGAGGCTGGTTAACCGGCTAACCGACATAAATAACCACCGGTTAAACCGACTAACCGGCACATCCTCACCCTTGGTAAAACGACGCCGCATCCTACCCTAACCCTAAGACTTCGCTGCTGTGGCCTTCACTCTCACCGCCGCCGCTACGAATTCACTCCACCCACCACAGCAGCAGCGATTCACTCTCCCTCTCCCTCACTCTCCCTGCCTCCGCCCTCACTCTCCCCGCCGCCACGCATGCCCTTGCCTCCGCCGGCCCTCTCCCTCACTCTCTCCCCTGCCGCGTTGTCGTGGCCGAAGAAGCCAAAGAAGAGCCTGCAGCTGAAACAGAGGAGCCTGCAGCCGCTGTGGTGGAAGAAGCCAAAGCGGAAGAGCCAGCCGCCGCTGAAGCAGAGGAGATCGTCACAAAGGAAGTAGCTGTGGAAGAAGAAGAAGAAGCCGCTCCCGCAGCCGAGACACTCGAGGAGCCAGCCGCTGCTGTCGAGGAGGAGACGCCTGCAGCCGAAGCAACAGCAGAAGAAGCTGTCGAGGAGCCAGCTGTTGCTGCCGCCGAGGTCGTGGCAGAGGAACCCAAAACAGAGGCAGCTGTTGAGGAGAAGCCAGCAGGGGAAGAGGAAGAAGCCGTTGTGGAGAAAGCTGAGGAATGAACAATTAATCAAGGAGCTTGGGATCTAATCTATCTTTCTAAATGTTTCTTTTGTTGCTTTTTTTCGACGTTAATTATTATGATGATTCGAATGGATTGGGGGATGTGGAAATGGGTTTATTTTGATGTTTATGTTTGGGAAGGGATCATTTGGGTAGTTTGACGATAGAGGTGAACTTGGGTTCTGGTGACCGGCCGAGAGGATGACTCTGTCGCCGGCAGGTTGTGTGGTGCCGGAGAGGGAAAATTAGTAGATTAGCGATTTGGCCATTTCCAAGGGGAATGACGAACCACCTCTTCAATCATTCCCCTATTTCCCCTAACAAGCAGGTTTCGATTTGGGTCCAAATAAACTGAAAACGAATCTTTGATTATGTTAAGATTTATCGATTTATTAATTAATGATTTTCGGCTTTAACAATCGAAACCATACCGGCACCCTATTTCAGTTTCTATCAAACCACGAACCGACCCGGGCATGAGTATTGGATCTTTAATTTCTAGTCGCGGTTACTTCGGTTAACCGGCCAACTAACCGGTAACCGACCGGTCGGTTGCCGGCTAACCAAAACTTTTCTTCGGTCGGTTGGCGGTAGTCGCATCCCTTGTCTCGGTTAACCGGTAACCGACATTTCAGTTATCGGTTATAACCGAACTAACCGAAATGCCAGCCCTACTTGATAGCAAGGCTACTGACCTGCTGTTACCCTTAGTCCACGCAGGGATTCTTTTTGACTCACTAACAAATTCAAGGACTCAACTGAACTAAACCAAAACGACACAGTCTTAACATAAACTTAAACATTCAAACACTGTTGTTGAACTTCCCGCCTTCTGCTGCTGTCTTTGTCAACTCCTTCTGCGATGATCAAGGCTTGACTCTACCAACAAGGGTATGCTAATACTAGCTAGAATTAATATGAACATTTGGTTTGGAGAATTTGTTTATTTTAAGATTTATAACGGGAGGAGCATGCTTGTCATTATTAAAAAATTTAGGAGTCATACAATTGTGACGTTCTGAATTAGTTCTGCATTCCGTGCGTCACCATAAGTATCATGAAACATGCCACGAAACACTGACAAAAAACGCGTGAGGTAGTTCTAAATTCTAACTTCACCACTGTCTGATGTCAAACTTGTATAAATTTAAAACTTATACATTGACTTTATGGACACGGAGAAAAGGTGAGAGGTTGTTACACGCCAAGGCTACGTACCGATATTATCCTAGAATAGGGGTAGAGGGTCGATTGGTTTGGTTATAACCGTAAATCGAATGGTCGGTTATTGATTAACCGAACCATCTACCGACCGAAAAAGGGTTTAAGTCATCGGTTATTTTGGTTTTCAGTTAACCAAACTGCCTCCTAAGACCAAAACCATCTCGCCCATCCTACAAACACCGACTGGCGATTATCTCGATTTTTGGTTAGTAGATAACCGACCGGTTTCGGTTATAATCGGTCGGTTAACCGATAACCGATTGTACAACCCAATGGCCTAGAATACTAATCCCCTTCTTCTTTGACACATCCGATGAAATTAAATGAGTACAAACATCTATGGATTCTTTTTACTTCCACTAAAATATCATTATGCCGACCTCCTCGAATCATGTTGGAATGAATTTCTTCATATAGCTCCACCTCTGGAGATACATTATTTTCCTCCTCCTCAGTCCTTCAGCTGACGGAGTCGTCAATAATAATCCATAGCCACAAGATTACAGACATCACACAAAAGTACAATTAAGTACCCGACACACTTCCTCCGCCGGCCGGCCGGCCATCATTCATTAGTCTACCGTTTCCGACGATACGGTTTGACACTAACGGCCATGCAGCCATGCCTATTGCCTATATACATTGGCGTACCCAGAAATTT